ATTAAGAGTAAGTTAAAAAGCATTTTATAAAGTTCTTTTTACTACTATTAGATAATATTAAAGATAAAGGGCTATAGTATTAAAGAGCCCTTATAATAATACTAAACTTAGCTTTAAAGGAAGTAAAGTATTAGCTATAAGTAATAAAGTTATAAAAGGTATTAAGAGAAAATAGACTATTAGTAATTATCTAAAAGTAAATTTAGCTATTATTTAAATATAATATCCTTAATATCTTTTAAATATTCCTAAAAGAAGATATTATATTAAGATAGTAAAGATATATTTAAATTATCTTACTTAAAAAGCTAGGTAAAAATAATTATATAATTACAAAAGCCTAAAAATTAACCTTACTTTTTACTATACTAAGCAAGGTGCTTAAGTTAATTATTACTAAGAGGATTTCTTATATAGTTAAGACTTATAAGCTTTTTTTAATTAATTATTTTAATATATATAAGTAATAATTAGCAAAGCAGGTACTTATACTTTTATAAAAACATATCTTCTTAATATAGCACTTATATTATATTATAAGTCTTATTAACTTTAATATAAAGGGCATATATAATAGTATATATAAAAAGAGATTATTATAGTAAATAAAAGTAAGAGAGATCCTTAAAGGGATTTTATACTAGGTAAATACATTTTGCTTTAAGTAAACTATAACTATTATAATTAATAAATAAAGTTCTAAAAGCAGGCCTTTACTATAAGCCAGACTTCTATAAGGATTACCCTTATTACTAATACTATTCTTATTCTTTAATACAGATTTAGTATAGACCTAAATTAATAGGAATGGCAGAGCTATTGTATTTATTAATGACTATACTATATAGGTATCTAGGCCTATAGCCTAAAGTAACTAGAGAAGAATATAAGCAATAATTAATAAGGCTCTAGACTAGGAGAAGCGCAGTAGTATAACTTTTAAAGTAAAAAAGATAGTAATTATATACTTTACTAGATATATAGGCAGGGTAGACTTAAAACCGTTTACTATTAAGGGCAAGAAAGTCTCTCCTAAAGACTAAGTTAAGGTCCTTAGGGTTATTATGGACTCGCGCCTGCACTATAAATAGCATATAGCTAGGGCAGCGACTAGGGGGCTAGAAGCTATAATAGAACTAAAATGCCTAAAGGGGATAGCTCCCTTAATAACAAGATAGCTCTTTACAGCCATAGTAGCTCCTGTAGTAGACTATACCTCTAATATCTAGATATATACATATAAAATAATATCAGTATATGCCATTTATTAAGTATAAAGAGTAGGATTACAGGCAGTTATAGGATTATTTATAAGTATAGCTATAAGGTTAGCTAAAGCAGAAGCTTATATAGCAACCATTTATAAACGGTTTTAGAGAAGAGCAAGCAAGCTTTAGGTAGACATTTATATACTACTACAGACTAACCTAGTCTGAAACCTCTTATAAGGGATTAAAGCTTTTCGGCACTTTATACCTCCTCTTAAATACATTGCAGATATATACAGAGAGCTATTAAGAAATACTATAGAAGTCATTTAGCTATTCGCCCTCGCTCTGTAGGAGTCACGTATGCAAGCTATACTAAGCAGATAGGAAGGGGAAGACGCAGACCAGATTAAAGAACTAGCTAAAGCAGGATAGGCGGTTAGAATAGCGATAAGCAGCTCTGCGAGGAATGATCTCGTTGGTATAGGAAGAACCGTTTAGATTCTTATATCTGTGGCAAGGGCCGGCAAGATTATTAAGAACTTTTTAATTATATTAGGCATAAGAGGATAATATAACCCCTATATAGCCTAATTAGCAGCTATTACTTATAGGCTTAACTATTTACTAGATATAAAGTATTAAGTTATTATAGTCTTAATAAGTAATAGATTGGCAGTATAAGCTATAAGAAATCCTTACTAATAATTAGGTTAAAGCTATATTTAGAGGATATATAATGCTATAGAGAAGCTCTAAGAAGACAGAAACAGAGTTAAACTTATCTAGCTACTATCTGGCAGTAAACTCAAAATCCAGAAAATAGCCAAGATATCAGCCCGTTATGCAACTAAGCTATATGCCACGCCGCGAAAAGGGGCAATTAAAGCAAAGATAATAATTCTTAGTAAAATAAAGGCAGGCCTGCAGAATAAGAGAAAGTTACTAGATAAAGTCAGCAGGCATTTAAAGAAGGTCAACCTAGCTCTACCTAGAAAATACACTTATCTGCTTTATAATTAGCTATTATAAAAAGAAGCTAGCATATTAGCACAGCTTAAAACCAGAATAGCACAACTAAGCAGTTATCTCTATTAAATTAAAGCAGTACTAATAAATAGATATTTATATAAATAGGTAAAGGAAATAATAAAGCACTTTCTCTTTTAATATATAAAATAAATAATATAATATAATAAGATAATATCCTAATATAAAGAAGAAAAGCATAGCAACCTATCCTTTTACCTAAAAGGTAAGGCAGTATTAAATAAATAAAAATAAGCACTAAATATAAAAGTAATACAAGCTATAATTAGATTTACAATTACTATAAGTCGCCTAGGGCAGAGATAATAACACTACTTACCTACTAATTACTAAAATATATTTACTAATAATAGCTACCCCTTATATAGCCAATAGCAGATACTACTTTAGCCACTAAAGATAGGAAACTAAATACTTAAAGGAATTAGGCTTTAAGTTAATTTACTATTACTAACTGATATAGGGATCTAGAAGGAGAATAATAAAGAGATAGAGAAGAATAAGGCAGGAAACATAAGGGCTCTGCAAGATTAAGACATCAATTAGCAAAATATATGTATTTTTAGTTTTCAGAGCCCTATGGGCGGTGGCCTACCGGGCGTAACAGATCTGTCTGTCTGTCTGATTACTAGGTCCCCATGCAAAACCCATTCCACCGAATGCAAGAAGTAACTGCTCGATAGTTTTCAGAAACGGTTCTCTTGCATCTCTGCTATAATCATCTTCCGGCAACACGCAATCACCGCTCCTGCAAATGCAAAGAGGCGACATTCTGTAAAACCTATTAAACTTCGCGAGCAGGCTGTTTGTTAGCCAGATGACGCCATTTGGATCCCTAATATAATTTAGATCGGCTCTAAAGTAAAGTAGCAATCGAACTCCTACTAAGTCCCGAGCTGCGATAGCCATTTGCAGTAGAGTAAAGCGATATCCTAGGAGATTAGGTTATGCTTTAGCTTCTAATAGGAGTTGGACTGGACAGTTAGAAGTATCCTCCTTATATGCAGATTGCGTCTCGAATGCCGACATATAGTGTCCTATAAAATAGATAAGAGTTATAGATGGGTTATAAAACCTAGTATAATTAATTAGCAAGCTGCGAAAACTCTTTAAGTAATAGTCTAAAAATTAACTTATTACTTCTATTAGTAGTCTATTAAACTTATATATTTTCTATTTACTGCTTAAGGTTCCTTTATAGGTATAAGTCTCAATTAATGTATTTTTTTTCAGCGCTAGCCTGTTGCTGAAAAGTGCCTTAAGATCTGCCTCCTAAAACAGTCTAGATAATATAGGTAAATCCAGATTATCAGTTACAAGCAATAAGCTCAGCAACACAGATGCATTATTATCTATAGCAGATTCGTTCTAAATAATAGTCTAAGCCAGTTTATCTATAGCGGATCTAGAGCCGTCGAATAGCTTATGCCACATCCTACTATCCTTATTGCGGTTAACTTTATTAAGGTGCCTAAAGTATTAAGTAGAAGGATCTAGGAGTGCCTTTACCTGGCTAAAAAAGGCATTATTCGCAGCTATCTCTTATCCCTATCTCCTTATTAAGGTTATTGCATAAAATGCATAATAGAAGCTAAGCTTTATCTATAGGTCTTCCTAACAAGATAAGTAAGAGCTTGCTATTTTAAGGTCTTCTAGATTATATAAAGCGAATTTTTATGCCTAAAGTAATATAATATCTAAGCATATAGATAGAACTTTAGCTATTTTAGTAGAAAAGAAGGAAAGCGGGCTTTATTATATATAGGCTGAATCTAGATACTCTTTAACTATATAGTATATAACTAATATAGTATTCCCTATACTGCTAATAAGGTATCTATAAAGCTCCTATAACCTTTCTAAATTATAAAGGATATTAGAATTAGAATTGCCTGTCTGCACTATACTGCTGCTAATTGCATCTAAGAGGAGAATAGAGGGAGTACTATATATAGGAGCGCCAAGTTCTTTATAAAAGCAAAGCCATTAAAAAGCATAATAAACGAATTGCTATTCCTCCTTTAGTATTTAACAGAAGATCCTTTCATAAGTCTTATCTAAGTCTTTTAGAAGTTTCGCTAGCGCATTTCTAATAACAGAGCATTTGCCTTTTAAGCATTGCAATTTATCTAGCTAGCAGATAGCCTACTAAAACCTAGATTCTTATAAGCAGAATAATAGTGCTAGTATGAGAGAGCCTATATATTCCCTTTACCTAAGTGGAAATAGCGTCTTTAACTTCCTTAAGAAGATTACTAGGCTAGTACTAGAACTTCCGATTTAATTATAGGATTGACTAGATATAAATGCAGATATCCTTTTTAACTAGTTTATTTAATATTAGGATAGAGATAGATATCTTTTTTATTACTAGTTTAATATCGATATACTTATGACTTATAATAAAGATCTAGATATTAGAAAATCATAAATTAGTAATAAGAGTATAAATAACTTTAAGTAAGTCTTAATAATTATTACTTTTGTTAATAGTGTTAATTATAATATATATACTGCTAAAGACCTAGAGGATCTATTTTAGTAAGTTAAGTAGTTCCTAAATACTTAGCTCTCTACCCTGTTTAAAAAGATTATATATAAAACTAGAAACGCTTTCTACTTAATATAAAAGCTAAGCAATAATCTATCTTAAAAACGGTGCTATCTTATCTTAGTAATAGCTAAAGTAATAGTAATAATAAGCATTTATATATAATGCATTTATTTTTAAGGACTGCTTACAGTGATCCTAGACTTGTTCGATTAACCATAATGTAAGGATAGTCTTTCTAGCACCTAGAATACCATAGACCCAAAGGCATCGGATTCGGGAGGCCAGCTAGTTAGTCTAATTTAGTAAGCGAAGCATCTAGCTTCCGGTTCCTTATTCATAAAGTCGCCTCGACCGATTGTGAAGAGGTAAAGGATCGGTTGACGTTAGCTACTTGTAGACTTTATTGCATTGGTCCTCTATGAAATGTTAGTAGCTGCGACTTAGATAACGGTTATGTGCTTAGTTGGAGTTTTCTACCTGTTAAAATAGAGCGAATTTCTTCTGAAGTTGCTTTAATATCTTTAATATCCTTCCTAAAATTTAATTGGTTAGCGGGAGAACAATATCTCTTTTCTCAAGTTACTTGATTTTAATAAGTGAATATTTAGAAGGTGAAAACTTACGTAACCTCTGTTGTCAGCGCGAGCTAAATGCCAGCCTTATGGCGGCTGATCTGCTGCAGAAGTTCCTGCACCCGCCCCTGCTTCAGAGGCCATGCTAAGGTTGCTTGGACTCTTTGCCGTTTCGAAGTACTCTGCCCGCTCTGAACCGAATCTTTAGGGAAGAGTTTCTCTCGTGCTATCATCGCGGCCCTACAGCCTTCAACAGGGCCATCAGAACCCGGCAGGCGATTCTGCAAGCTAGGGGTAAAGGTATCGCATATTAATAAGAATTCCAAGCCTTCAAGAACAGACTTCACCGTAGACACTTCGATTAGAACGGCGCGTAAGCTAGAAGGGGCTTCAGAGCTAAGTAATTCAGTATAAAATTTGCAGAGCTTGATGACTTGCTGCGAAATTTGGATGACTGTAATGGCGCTCGCGACTACTCCTAGTGCTTCAGCCATTGCCCAGGCCTGTTGCTGTGGGCGAGAGGGTTGGTTGATATGCGATCAATCAGGCGCTCGAAAGATCGTGCTAGACCAAAGATGTTAGAAATTCAGAATTTATTTACTGTCCGTCCCTCAATTCTCGGCGAGATTTTAGCGGGAAAACGCGGCACCCACCTATAATTGGCCTTGATTATTCTTGCGTTCAGAATCAGGAGCTCTTAGTTGTCTTGCCAAAATGGTGGGGGTTGGGAGTTCCTGATGATATAGGGAAGAAATATTATCCTTCCAGGGAAGTTGAAAGAGAAACTACAAAGCGCCTTGGATGAGTCAATCGGTCGCTGTGGCTATGCAAGGCATTTTCTGTTGGGGGTTATCCCCAAAAATTGGTGGCGTTTTCAACTGTTGGCAGTGCATAACCTCGCCCAGTAGGCGTTCTTGTACACGGGCATTCTGGGGAGGCTGTAAACCAGCCATTTCGCAGCCCGAAAAATGTCTCCGCGACTTTTTCGACTCCAGTATGGGTCGTCCAGCTGATGTGTTTGTAGGCAGGCCAGTTGGTTTGAGTTGCGTCAGTTTGCGTTCAGATAGGCCGCCCGCAGGGTAAGGATGTTTTGTTCCAGATTTATTCTTGATGTATTACTTTATGCACTATGTTAAGTGTCGGAAATCAATAACCCGAACTGGCCGTTCATCACTTATCGTAGCCCAGTTTCCTTATCTACAGCTACCAATCTCACATAAATTAAATCGAATGCAACCACATTAACTTAGCGAATTAAGGTCTCTCAAACCTGAACCTCAAGTGCACCGTGGTGCGATTAGCTGGTTCTTCATATTAAGTTATTATAAGATTTTACTGTAAATTGATTTAAGTATTTAAACTAGGGAACTTATATCTCCAAGACATTAATAGTATCTCTCAAGGTATACTTTTCTTTACGCTTGTCAGCTTAGTAGATGTAGAGGAAATTGCAGGTAGATAGTAGCAATTCGCAGTTATGCGATAGAAATGAGCAATGCGATGTGCAGCGAGAAACGATACCGTCATCATACAGAAGCTGGTAGAATGCGCCACTAAGAGATCCGATTAAGGTTTGTATTGAATAACCAGTATAGAACAATGTCTGATCAACTCTACACCCTGGCAATAATCAACCGTACTAGGTTTAAAGTGGGTCAATAAAATCAACTCTAGAGTTGATTTTGGACTGTAGGACAAGGAGATCTTCAAGTTCCATAGTGAAAGTCGTTTATAGTCCACTAGTCTCTTGATAGTATGAGCTTTTAAAGATCGTTGGAGGAAGCAAAGAGAGTAGATGATGTAAGAAAAATGAAGTACGCGTTTACGCGTGTTTACACGTGTACGTAATGCGCCCGCAGACTGTCGATCGAAATGAGAAAACATAAGTTACCATAGTATGGTCATGTGGGAATAGGCGGGAGATAAACAAACACGTGAGAAATAAACAGGGGGTAGGCGACAATTAGGGGTACACGACAATTAGGAATAGAAGAGTAGGGTCGTCTGGGTTGGCACGGACGAAAATTAGACAATGCGGCGGGATTTAGTTCAACCTTTATACAGTAGGGCGTACCGACCAAACAGATTTCCATATCCAGTTGTCAAAATGCTGTTCCTCATCTTTATCGCTAAGAGCATAGATAAGTAGATGATAAAAGAGTTGGGCAGTATAAAAGGCGAGTATCTATCGGATAGGATTGAGCGAAGAAGAAGAAAAATAGCACTTAGCCGTTTTCCTTATTGCCTCCTGGAATATGTTATTAAGAGGGAGAATAAATTATATAGCTTATATAGAAATAAAATTATTTATTATATAAGTAGGTACTATCTAAAAGGGGTAGTGCTAGGTATTAAATATAAGGTTAAGTATAATTTCCTATATTATTAAATTAATATAGTATAATAGTTAGTATTTTTAAATAGGTAAACTAGTTTATACTAGGTTTTATATTTACAGAATTATAAGGCATTATATTAAGTAATAATAAAGTATTATATTTCTTAATAATTAATAATATAGTTTAGGCTTATTAAGGTAAAGAAGTCTTATTAATAATTAATAAGCTAAGTTTTATAAAGGTGTTAATAAATATAGTTTATATACTAAAAGTAGCTTTATAGCTTAATAAGGAATAAAAGTAATCTAAAGGTTAGATTACTAAGGATTATTAGTAATTTATAATAATCTAATTTTAAAGTATTATAATTTAAGTAATTTAATAAAAGAGGATTATTACTAAAAGAAGTAATTCTTTTATAATTAGTAGAAATTATAAGGGCTATATAATATAGCTATATAGATTATAATATAATCTCTCCCCTTTATTAGGTCTTATCCTTAAGACTTATATATCTCCTTATTCTTATATTAGGCTTTAGTAAGTACTAACTTTCTTTTTTAATTATTTTCCTAATATACCTTATTAATTATTATATTATAAAGTCTTTAAATAAAATCTTATAAGGCTTTAAAGTATATTTATTTAGTAGATTTAATTATAAAATTTAATTTTAATATTATACCTTATTCTTTTTATAAGGCTAAAGGCCTTTATTATAAAATAATTAAGTATTTTTCTTATTATTTTAAGTAAACTTAATAAGGTTAATTTTATAATACTTTTAGTAGTATAATTATTTATTATATATTATTTCTTTATTATTATTACTTTTTACTAATTATTTCCTAATTCCTTACTTAAATTATAAATCTAATTATCTAAAATAGGCAGAAAAAGAGGCTAAAAAGAAGCTTCTTAAGGCTTAATAAAAATTTAATAAGGCTATTATAAGATTATTTTATATTTATTATTAAAAGCATTTATTATATAAGTAAGGTATTTAATTTATTATTAATAATATAAATTCTTTTATAAGTAATATTATTACTTAAAAGGAAGATATAATAGTTTTAAATATTTAGTCTTTTAGTAATATTAATATTATTAACTAAAACCTGGTTTTTAATTCTTTATTCTTTAAGGTTATTAATAAAAGTTCTTTAAGAGTTACTAAGTATTAATAAGGTATTTAATTAGTTTTTATATATTTTTACTTTTTAAGTAGTTTTTCTATTTAATTAAGTATTTATATTTTTTATTTTTAAAGTATATTTTCTTAATTACTTTTACTTTATAAACTTTTAGTCTTTTAATTTCTTTTAATTTATTACTAATTTTCACTTATATTATATTAGCTACTAATTTAAGTAATATAATATAAAAAATAAAGCCTAACCTTTAATAATTAATCTAGTTTATAATTATTTTTTAAGGTTTTTCTTTTTATTTTATACAGCCTAATATACTTATAATCTAATTTATAGCTTAATTATTTTATTATAATATTTTTTATTTATTTTCTAATAAAATCTTTTTTTTTTTAATTCCTTATATAAAGTATTTAAGTCTTTACTCTTAATTATAATAGCTAGGTTAATTATTTTTAGTTTTTATATTATATAATATAAGTCTAAAGTAAATTTAAAGTTTATTACTAAAGGTATTATTTTTATACTTTTATTATATATTATATTATAAGCAAGTTAGGTACTTAATAACTTTTTTACCTAATTATTTTATTTATAATTAATATAATATAATATTATAAGTATTATTTTAATACTTAGTTTATTTATTTAATTTATTTATTTATTTATAATCTAAATATTATTAATAGTTAGTAGTTTAGTCCTATATATACTATAAGTACTTGCCAGAACTTGCTTATAAATATAGTTTCTCTATCTATTAGGATTTTATATAGTAACTTATGTTTTCTAACTATCTTATTATAGAAGATATAGGTAAGTTATTTTATATTTATATCTTCTCTATAAGGTATATAGTAAGAGAATCTAATAAGTTAATTTATTATAACTAAAATACTATTATAAAAGATTTTAATTAAGGGTTTTTTTAATAAGGGTAATTTAATTATAAAGTCTATTATAATTAAACTTTATAATCTCTTTATTACTTTTAATAGTTATAATAGCCTATAAGGTTTATATTTTTATACTTTAGTTTTTATATATAAGTTATATTATTTAATAACTTTTTTATTATCTTTTTAATCCCTTCTTAATTATAATATATCTAAATATATTTTAAGGTTTTTATAATACCTTAATAGCTATATACGGGATATTAATATATATTTTATATTAGTTCTTTTTTAAATTATTTAAGTATTATAATTTATTATTATAGGTAAGTATTTCTGCTTTATTTTAATAAGGTCTTAAAATTATATCTTATAATAATATTTTAAATTTTTCCTAGCTATATTTCTTAATTTATAAGTTTATTATTATTTATAAGTTCTAGAGTTTTTACTTATTAGGTAAACTAATATTTTCCTTTATTATTTTTCCTTAAGAGCTATTTTTTAGCTTTTATTATATTAATATTATAATCTAGTTATTAACTAATAGTATTAGCTTATTTATTATTTAAACCCTTATAGTAAATAATTATAAAATTAAATTTATATAAGTATTTAATATAATATAATTATTATTAATTAAGCTTTTAAGTTATAGTAAAGTATAAAATATTTTAATAATTAATATAAACCTTAATTTAATATATACTTCTTATAAGGTAGTATTTAAATTTATTAAAGTATTTAATAATTATTAAGAATTCTTTATTATAAATAAGGTAGTTAAGTTTTACTTTTATAACATATATAAGTAAAATATAACTAGGTATAATTTGCCTTAATTATTATATTATCTAAATTATCCTCTTAATATAAAGTCTAATAAATTAGTCTTTAGTTTTATTTCCCTATTAGGGTTAAATATAATTAGTATAGGTTTATTATAAATAGCTTATTATAGTTATTTAAATACTTTTTATACTTTTATTTCCTATATAAAGGTTTTATCCTTCTTTATAAGCTTTATAAGTAAGTTTATAATTTTACTAAAGTCTCTAATAAATTATTAATAATAATTAGTAAATCCTAAAAAGCTTTATATCTTTTTAATTATTTTAAGTATTAGCTAGTTTATTATTACTAAGATCTTTTTTATTTTATCTTAATTTTAATAGATATAATAATATATCTTAAGAAATTTACTTTTCTTATATAAAAGTAACTCTTTTCTAATTTAATTAGTAAATTTATATCTTATAATGCTTTTAAGACCTTATAAATATATTCTTTATATTCTTCTTTATTATTTAAAAAGATTAAGATATTATTTAAATAATATATTATAAAAATATCTAAGTATTACTAAAGTATATTATTAATTATTTATTAAAATATTATAAGTATATTAATAAGTCTAAATAGCATTACTAAATATTTAAAAAATCTAAACTTAGTTTTAAATACTATCTTTTATTTATCTCTTTCTTTAATATAAATTAAGTTATATACTTCTTTAAGATTTAAAGTAATAAAGATCTATTTACCTTATAAGTAGTTCTTAAGTTTTATAATAAATAACAGTAAGTTTTATCCTTAAGTATAAAGTATTTAACTTCTTATAATTTATAATAAGTTATAATTTCTTATTCTTTTTAAAAATAAATATTATTAAGAATCCTATTAATAAGGTAAATATTTTAATATTTCCTTTTATTAGTTTTATTTCTAGTATTCCTTTAAGGTTATTAATTCTTTTTTATTAAAGTTATAAATCTTTTAAAATAGTAAGTTATTTATTTTAAGCTATATTTTATAATCTTAATAGCTATATTATAATACCTTTATTTTAAGTTCTTTTTTAAATAGTTTTTTATAAATATAGTATTTTTTTAAAATATTTTTAAGTCTATCTTATTATTTCTTTTCTTTAAGTTATTTTTAATATTTTAGTTATTTATTTAAGTTATATAATTAGTATTTAAGAAGACCTAAGGTATAATAGTTTTATTATTCTTGCCTTTTATATACTTATATTATGCTTTTATTAAAAGTAGTAAATTCTTTACTTTATACTTACTTATATTATCCTCTTTAATTAAGGTTTAAGATCTTTTATTATCTATTATAATTAATTTATTATTACTATTAAGGTTATTTAAAAAGGTAACTTAGCTAGTCTTCTAGTTAATATATAAGTTTTTATTTTTAGCTAATTTATATTAAGGAATATATTTACTCCCTTATTTAAAGGTAAGATATTAAAATCTATTTCTTAATTTCTTCCTTAAATAAAGACCTTAAGGTAATTAAGCTCTTAGTTTATAATTTTATTATTATAATTAAAGTATTATTCTTTTATATTAAGTAATAGGTAGGGTCTTATTTCTTTTTTTATAGTAGTTTTAGCTATATAACTATTTCTAAGTTAATAAAGTTTTATTTAGCTTTATAATTAATTTATATATCTAGCCATTTTCCCTTAATTTAGACTTTTAATATTAAGTATTTTATATTAGGTCTTTATATAACCCTAAAGCATTTAGTAAACTAAGTTATTTTATCCTTAATTTATATTTATTATTACTTTATTATAAATAATATATCTTTTTCTTAATATATTTTAGTAAATTTATTTATAATTATTATTATATATCCTTTCTTATTTATATAGTTATTACTAAATCCTTCATTATATAATATTTACTAAAAGTGTTTTTCTAGTTTTATATTTTATTTATTTAATATAATTCCTTATTTAGATTATTTATATTAATTAGGCCTAATTAAATCCTTTTTAAGGTTAATAGGTTTAAAGATATATTCTTTTTTTAATAATAATTTATTATTATTTATATCTTTTATAATTATAATTTTATTAAGTTATTAAGATCTATAAGGTTATTATATAAGTAAAGTCTATTAGCTTCTTATTAAGCTTATAATTTTTAATAATATTTAAACTTATATTATTAATTAATAGTTTTATTATTAGGTATTATATTATTTACTATTAATTATTCTTAATATTCCTTTTTTTATTTTTAATATTATTTAATAATTTTTTAAGCTATTTTTTTATATTAAGATATTATAAATATATTATAGTTAACTAGTTAATATTTCCTTTAATTATTATATTAAATTCTTTTTTTACTTTTTAATTATTTAATAAAATATTAATACTTTAGTGTTTTTTATTTTATAAATTTATTATAATATATTAGGCTAAATTATAATATACTACTTTAAGGTTTTATATTATATATATTAAGTGTTTATATATATCCTATTTATAATATAGTTATTATTAGTATATAGGTATTATTATAGGAAATAGTTATTATTTTTTTATTTAGTAATAATACTTATATTAATAATATTTATATAATACTATAAAATATCTTTATATTAGGATTTATTAGTAATATCTTTATATTATTATCTTATTAAACTATACTTTAATATAGTAGATTTATAATATCTTATTATAATAGGCTTTAATATATATTTCTTTAAGTTCTTTAGTATTCTTATATTCCTTAACTCTTATATATACTTATTTTTAATAAGAATATATTCTTATCTTATTTTATTATATAGTAGTTTATATAGTTATTTTTACTTATTTTTAAGTTATTTATCTTCCTTATAAAGTATTATATAATTACTTATACTACCCTCTTTATATGTTATACTTTAGAGTATTAATAATAATAGTATATAGCCTATTTCCTACTTTTTTCTTTTTTTAAACTTCTTCTTTTTTTATAATTTTTTATTATAAAGTTAAGTACTTTAACTTCTTAATATATCCTTTTTAGTATTTATTATAAAGTTGATTTATTTTTTAATTAATTATTTTTCCTTATTAAAACTCTTAGGTTTATAGCTTTCCTAGCTTTTAATTCTTTAAAGTTCCTTTATTAAGTTTTTATACTTTTTATAATTAGGTTATTATAAAGCTTTTTTTCTTATTTTTATTATATTATACTAGCTTAATAAGATATTTTAGATTATTAGCTTTTTTATAGCATTTTTTTCTTTAATTTAATTCTTAATTTATTATTCTTATTAGTAATTTTCTATATTAGCTTCTTTATATATAAGGAATAATCTATAATTCCTTAATTAAACTATTTAGGTAAGTTCTATCTTATAATTTATTTATAGATTTTAAGCTCGTAATATTATAGTCTTCTTTATAATTCCTAAAGTCTAAGTATATATAGCTATTTATAAGTCTTATACCTAAGTTAGTTTAAATTTACTTACTTAATTTAATCTTAGGCCTTTATAGTTTAAATAGTTATATATAATATATTTATTTCTATTATAATTATAATATTTAACTTTAAATATATTTATTATTATTATTATAATTACCTAATTAGGTTCTTTAAGTATTATAAGTCTTATTATATTTTATATAAGGTATTATTTTAGTAGTTTCCTTATTATATTTTAGTTTTAAGAGTTATTTAGTTATTATTATTATATTATTAATTAAGGTAATATAAGTTAAATTATTGCCTTATTTATAATTAGCTTTTCTTTCTTATATTTATATTATTATTTATTAATTTTAATTACTATAATAATATATATATTAAGTCTTTAGGCCTATTAGCTAGGTATAATTATTATTAACTTTTTCTTTTAGTCTTTATAATAAATTTCTATAGGCTTTATTGTTTTATTTAATTTTAGATATAAACTATTAAATTTAATAAAGTAAATAATATAAATTATATTATTTAAGTATAAGTAATTTATTATAGCTTATTATTTTTATTAATTAATTTAAAATTATCTTTAGGGCTTATTTAAAATTATTTTAGTTTTTAAAGATATTTTAGGTATTTTAATCTTATATATTTTCTTTATTTTTAAAGAAGTCTTTTAAGATAGGTTTAAACTAATCCTTTACTTTTCTTAAATTAAGCTTATAATATATAAGAGTTTCTTTATAAGTATATTTAGCTTATTTTAATAGAGGTAGAAGTAAGCCTTTATTTAAGTTAGAAATAAGATTATATTTATAACTTAGCCTTTAAAAGGTTTTAGCATAAGGGGCTTAAGTGCCTCTTTAAGGTCCCTTTTATTATTACCTTTATTAATAATTATAGCAAGATATATATTTACTTAAGTTTATAAAATATAGATAATATTATAGAGCTATTAAACTTTAGCTATTATCTTAATAATACTTAATAATACTTTAATATAAAGAAGTATTAAGCTAGTATTATTAGATATTTTAATAATATAATATTACTTAGTTATTAATATAATATATTTTAAATAAAAGCTATTAATATATAATAATTAGTATTTTTAAATATGTAAATTAATTTATATTAAGTTTTATATTTATAGAATTATAAGGTATTATATTAAGTAATAATAAAGTATTATATTTCTTAATACTTAATAATATAGTTTAGGCTTATTAAGATAAAAAAGTCTTATTAATAGTTAATAAGCTAAGTTTTATAAAGGTATTAATAAATATAATTTATATACTAAAAGTAGCTTTATAACTTAATAGGGAATAAAAGTAATCTAGAGGTTAAATTATTAAGGATTATTAGTAATTTATAATAATTTAGTCTTAAAGCATTATAATTTAAGTAATTTAATAAAAAAGGATTACTACTAAAAGAAGTAATTCTTTTGTAATTAGTAAAAATTATAAAGGCTATGTAATATAGCTATATGGGTTGTAATATATAGGTAGTCTAGTTAGGCTAAAATGCGCTGTTAGCTAATATAGTAAGATAATATTAAGTTGGAATATAACTTCTTTATAAATCCTAAAATTAGGATACTATTAAGCAGATAATATAGCCCTTAGATGCTGCTTATTTGCCTCCTAAGCATGCTTTATATAGGAGTAACTAAGCTAAGGCGTAAATGCATGCTGGCGATTCTAATATATATTAGCTAAGTCCTTAAATATTTCTTTATTAAAGGCAAGAAGTAATAAAGAACCTAAATTAAAGAGTTTATAGTTATTAAATATAACCCTAAAGAGGTCTTTCTTATAATTATAGGCTTTTATATAAATAATATTAGGTAATTTAAATACTAAATAACTTAGGTTATATAATTTAATTAACTTTACCTTAATATAATAAATACTAATATCTTAAAGAAGAGAGGAGTAATATTACTTAGTATTTATAAGGGCTTTTAGTATTATAATACTAAATTATTTATAAAGGTAATAATAGTAAGTGCTTTTTTAAAGTAATATTTAAGGCTTATAATAACTATTTTAGTTATTTTATAATAGTATTTAACTATAATACTATTTATTAATATAATTATATATTCCTATATTAAGCTAGTATAATTATGAATTAAGTTATTTTAGGTTAAAGCTAGCTAAAATATTATCTTAAAATAAAACTAGACTCTCTTAAAGGTTTAGTTATATAAATAAGTTCTTTAGGTTATAGGCTTAGAAAAGTAAATAAGGAGTCTAGTATTAAGTAATTATCTCTCCTTATTATATTTAAATCTAATAGAGGTTTACTTTTTATATAACTAATGCCTAAAACTATAAAAGAAATTTAGTAGGGACACTATAGGCTAGGTAAAAGGTTTAGCTCTTATTATTAGTAGCCTAATAACTAGCCCCTAGCTTCTCTTAGTAAGTATAAGAATTTATATAAATAAGGTTATATAAACTAAGAATCTCCTATTAAGTATAATCTAGTAATGTTTTATAGGCTATTAGTATAATAATATTATTATATAAATCTCTAAATTAGTCTAAAAAAGACTATTTATAAAAGCTAGTATAAATAAGTAACTTTTATTAAAGAAAAATATAATATTATTAAAGCAGATATTACTAGTAGAAAATAACCTAATAAAAGTATATTATATATATATTAGATTTAGATTATAAGGTTAAATAATCTAATTAATAAGATATTACTTTTATATAATAAAAGAATAATAAGCAAAACTAGTTAAAGGCTAAATAGCTAAAAGAGTTTTAGCCTTAAACTAGATATTATTAATATCTTATAGTATAAAATAGTTATTAATTTTTAAGTAAGGGAAGCCTATATCTTATAAATAAAAGTGGCTTTAATATTTAGTTAGAGAGGAAGCTCTCTTAATTAAAAAGGAGCTATAATAGTTATATATTATATACTAAGTTTATTAAAGATAGACTATAAGGAGGAAGAAATACTAAATATATTTAATTCTTTCTTAAAGTATATAAGTATATCTAGGCTTAATAACCTTATATAAATATATACCTAAATTAAGTTATATATTAGTAAATTTATACTTATAAAAGTATATTTATAAGTAAGGTTAGCTAATTATAGTTATATTTATATTTATAAGTAAAAATAACTAAAATACTTTATTATATATATAGAAAGTCTGTGCTATTAGTTATCTCTTGCTAGTAAATTAATTAGAGGAAGCATTAAGAACAGGGTCGTAGGGGTTAAGAGATAACAGAGCCATAATAATGCGAACTAGGCTTATATATTTGATATATAAAGAGGGACTTGCTAATTCAGAAACAGGAAATTATATTAATATACTTAGGTTATTAGTTATACTGCAGAATAATCTTTAGATAAGGAGATATTATACTACTATAAATAGAGAATCTAATTATTATAATAACTATAATTATCCTTATTATTTTGTTAAATAGGCGATAGTGCTAGTATAAATGCTTATATAGGCTAAGGTCAATTAGACTATAAGTTAAGGTATCTAATAGCATTAAAGCATTACCCCTATATCTAGAGTAAAGAGCTTGGCAATTAGCAGTGAACTATAGGAGTCCCTGTTTTGCTATATAGTCGATTGCCCTGGCAAACTTAATGGTTTAAAAGGCGCTAAAGCTGCGTGCCTTTTTTATGCTAGTAGATTTACAGGACTGTTATCTTTATTTGCATATAGTTAATCTAGTTATATAAGCCTTATTATTAGACTACTAGGTAGTAGATATAAATTAATAAAAGAAGTAAACTTAAATAAACTTATAATAGCTATAGTGGCCTATAATGCAGATAATATAGGTAGTATATAATTAATAATTATATATAAATATAGATTAAGAGCATACTCCTAAATAAGTTTTAATATATATTTTATATATAATGCCTCTTACTATTACTACTGCTATTTTGCCTTTTCCTCTATAGTTAATACTTAATAACCTATTTTAAGTAATTATTATAAATTAATATATATTATAATACTCTTCTTAAATTTATACTTTATTATTTCCTCTTATATTTATTTATATTTATTTAGGTTATAATATCCCCTTTTTACCTTTAATATAGCCTTAATTATTATTAATTATTATATATATTAATATGCCTTTTTTTAATAAGTTTAAAAGACTATTTATAAGAAGTAAGCCTTTATAGTTTATAATCCCTAGTAATCTGTAATCTCTAATTAGATTAAGAAGTAAGAAGGTTATAATAGCAGTAATAGAGCTAACTAGGTTATGCCATAATTAAGATAGGTAATTAGTTTAAGGTAAAGATATTAGTAATTATATTAGTTATAGTAGTAAGGGAGTGTATTATATTTAGTAAAATAAATTAATAAGGTTTAAGTTTAAAAGGGCATTCCTCTTATAATAATTAATAATAAGGAATATCTAAAATAACTAACTAGTATGTTAAAATAAGGAATTACTATAATATATATTAATAATATTATTTACTTTAATTTAAGTTTATTTTTATTTTATTTCTATTATTATATAATATAATAAGATTATTTTTTAATTACTATATATATACTTTTAATATAAATAAAAAGTTCCTTATATATAACTATCTTTAATTATCTATAATATAGTTAAGCTACCTTATTATTTATCTTAATAATATTATTTACTAAGGATAGGCAGGGTATAGTAAGCTATAGTATTTTTTTATTTATTAAGGAGGATATAATAAGGTTTTTTTACTTTTATAATACATTATATTAGCTACCTAAAGACTTAATAGGGTTTTTCCTATTTTATAATTCCTCTTATTTACCTATTTTTAAAGCCACTTATTAAGAATTAAGACTACTAAAAGTAAGATAAATATCGAATTCTATCTTTAATTAATAATAGATGCTTCTATAAGTATATAAAATTCTTTAGCATAGTTTATATAGATTAGTTATGTCAAAAGATATCAATTAATCTACTTTCTGTTTTGTGCATCGACGTGATTAATTTACCACGAGATTTTCAACATGTTGTAGAACACATACGACGCCGCCCCAACCCGCACCCTCCACGCATGACTGATATGTTCTTATACTTATTTCTTATTTCCTTATATATTAAAAAAATCTTTACCTTTCTATTTTATTAGCTAGATCTTAATTAAAGAAAAATACTAAGGTAAAGATAGCTTAAATAGTTAATATTAACCTTATCCTAACCCTAACTATAGTTAATACTAACCTTATCCTAACCCTAAGTATAGTTAAATACCTCTAGGCTTAACCTAAATATAATAAAATAGGCTAGTATATATCTACCTTAATTCTCTCTTTTATAATAGTTAGAATTTTAGTTACTTTATTATAGTAATTATTATAAAATAGAGGTAACTTCCTGCTAGTTAAGTTAAGACTAAGGTAGGCTGGCAAGAAATCCCTGTAATGGCAAGCAATTAATATACTCCTTTCTAATTGGCAAGGTTACTTAATATGTTAAATACTAGTAAAGATAAGACTGGCTAACTAGAAAACTAAGCTACTAGTTAGAGAGCTGTCTTAGTATTATAATAACCTGTTAAGAAGTTTATTACTAAATAGATAGAAATAGGGACCTTAATCTAGGTTTTGTTTTAATAATATAAGCTATGCTAGGGTCTTAGCTAATTAGAAGTATTTAAGATACTATAATATATTAATTATAGCCTTTTAACTCTTAAAGCCCTTATAAATATAAAGAAATTAGCTGATTATAGCCTGTTATAAGATTAACTAATTACTATATTATAATTATTATAATTAAAAGTAAGAGCTTAGTTATTTTTTTTATACAAATTACTTATAGGGCATTGACCTACTTATTACTCTTTATTTAAGCCTATAATATATATATTACACTTAGCGTGCTTAAAGGGTTAAAGTGAACATAATAAGCAGTAGCAAAAATGTATTTATTAATTATTCCTTATTTATCTCCCATGCAGGGTATTCCATCTTATAGAGTTACTTAAAGCATATAGCTAGATTAATAATATAGTCATTTTCTAAGGCCGTGAAGATTATGCCTACCGTGCGACATAGAGACTATAGTACTAAGAGAAGTCTTCCCTTTCTAATATATATAACTCAATATAGCAGATACCTCAGTGCTCTGCTTCCCCTGAATTTAAAATCCTGTAGCTATAAATATGCTTGTTTATTAGCCTATATAACCTCGTTTGTTAGTCCATGGTTATTATACGAAAGAATTTAACAGCTTACATTAGTCGCAGTACCCGTGCTGCACAATGTCATGCAACGAACCGTGGCAAGTGATTTTGTAGTTCTTCTTCTTGCAGTTCAAATCCTGAGCCCCCAATGGGCTGATGTAGGTTCACCAGAGCCACAGTCAAAGAATTGGGTGGTTTTTCCTTGCCAGCTAAAGTAATTGGAGCAAATCGATTGCTTCAAAGGGCCAATAACCCTCTGCCCTGGACAGGCGTCCTCCCCGTGAACCCAGACTACCCAATGGTTGAGCCCATCGGAGTCCTGGAGCTGCTGGCCATAGCCAATTTTGATGCAACCACCGCACGCGCGTGCTGCATTTGTAGCATTAACACCTAACCCTCGAGCATCTAACTTGGGGAGTGGGACAATGGTATTTGGGGCTGCAAATGAGTTCGAAGCCAGGAAAAGGCAAAGAAGGCCACATTTAAAAAACATGGTGCTTGAACGAGACAGTTCTTTGCAATGTATAACAGATATAGGAACGATGGCTGATTGACGATGATGCGTTGTGAGAAGCTTTGGATCAAGGTACTTGTTTTATATAACAAAACGGCGGCATTTCTTTAATATGGTTGTGTATGTGAATTTGATTAAGTCACTTAATTCTCTTTTTCGAAAAAGAGTCAAATAACGATTACTAAGTTTATCCGAATCTCAAAACCTGTAATAAGCACTGCATGGGTACTCCCTACAGCTCTACTATGTACACCAGGAGCGGGACAGTTATGTAAAGTTTGAAAATTATTCGAGAGGATTACATCTTGATTCCGAGAAATTCGGGAGAACCTTCCGGTTCCCTATGTGTCTTTGCGATGAACTGCAACTGATGGTCGTCCGTTTGAACGTCAGTTTTCTTCATGGCTTATTAATAACACCAAGGACTACAGTAAGCAGAGTCCGACAGAGATAAAGTTATGTTTCCTTATGTTATGTGAGTAATATATATAGATAGGAGATTAAAAAGCATATGGTATTAATCTCATCGACTAACATTTTCTAGATTCTCAGCCCAAGAACCGCAACCTTCTGTCAACCTATTTATTAAGTATATTGCTCTCTCTTAAACCAAATGCATCTTCTTCAGAGCATCTATGCAGCTGCCCTTCTTACAGCTGTTTCATCGGCTGCCCCAAATCCACTTGGTTTCGATCTTGGTATCCCAGAGCAGAGCCCTGGCACCTCTCAAATTAATGATACCCTCCTCGGTAAACGCGCACCGTTTAAAGTAGCTTGGGGTGAACAGATTCAAAATGGCGTCGAGGAGAACAAATGGGTTGCGTGGGTTGAGGGAGATCACGCTTGTCCCGGCCAGGCGGTCTTCGGGAATACAGCCAAGTCTAACATTTGCTACCAACCTTTCAACCTAAAAGGAATATCGGTTAATTTTTTTGGGTGCTCTGGCAATAGCAACCCGACACAGATCGGCTTTCCCTATAGCCCAGGCGGGCCAGTCGGGGGTGAAAAGCTTTCCTGTGGCGCCAATGGTAAAAGCGGAAAGAAGATCAATTGCTCCAATCAACATGACATCAAGCAGCATGGCTACTGTCAGTAAGCTTAGGAAGGGTGCAGTATCTAGCAGGACGCGTGGAGGGGCCAAGCTACTAGCTAAGGGGCTCATCTCACTCGGAATGACCTAGTGCCAGGCTTGGTGGCACGCAGAGGGTGACGGGAGGGGTGGAGAGCACCTAACGAGGAGGATTTACGTTTGAGGGTGGCGAAGAGGGAACGGGATGGTGGCTTTTCATTTCTGTATGTTGATGTTCGAGAAAAACAAGCTACCGGGTGGTACAATTTCCGCTACCCGGCCGGGCAAGATCTCTTCAATCTGCTTAAAAATGGTAGAAGCAGCTTCTAAAGCGCGGCCCGCTCGAGATGCCTATATTCGGGCTGTCAAGGTAGAAAATCAGCGAAGTACATAGTCTGTACATGAAAGCTTGTGGACAGAATCGGACTCACTAAACATGCTATGAATAATATATTTAAAGAAAGCAGTTAATATTAAAAATGGATTGATAAATATTACTATGTCGTCACGTGTGATGATCAGCCAACCAGTCGGATCTAAAAGTATTGGGCAATACACTGACAATTTTGGAAACAGCTTGCAAGCGACAATAGGCACCTGGAGTGTGGCGGCAACCCAGCTTCGCATGTTATTGGAACGACCGTATGGATAGATATCCGGCGATAGTGCGGACTCACCCACAGAAAAGAGGGCAAGATTTCTTTTATGCAGTATTATTTAAAAATCTCTGTAGACTGTCAATAGCATTTTGTGATTAGCATGTGCGGAGCCTTGGTAGCTAACTATCAACGGCATTCCACCCTGTCATCTCGTATAATTTTCGATCATTGGAACACAGGTCCGTATTGATTGTTTGGGTGTCTATTTGTCGTGGAAGGAGCTAGTTGAGGGACGCTGCATGTGCTTACAGTGTATAATTATTCTAAATAGACTCAATTGGCCCACATTCGGTCTAAATTTAACATATCTATTACCCGTAATTTCCGTATCGACCCGCCGTTATCAGGCGAGGTAGTTGAGTAAAATTCGCCAAGGGGGAGGTTCCGTTTTGTTTAGGGTTAGGCCCAGAAATAATATACATTAGCACTAAAGTGCCGCTTATGTGTTTGTTTTCATTTCTATTTGGTTATTATTATCAGCCTGATGAATTTCTTAACCTAATTTATAAAGGGTAGCATGTAATTTACTCAAATACATACTTTTCGTCCGTGCAAGCTGATTGGGTTGAGCTCTGTAAATCCCCTTAATAACTTTGCTTTTTGTCGCAATGCTATAAACATCGATACATAAAGAGAAAATAGTAATAAAACCGCTCGGGCTTAGTAATTAAGACTAGAGCAGTGGAGGAATTATTAGATTAGCGGCTGGGAGTGGGCTCCACTTTCCTTTACCACAATATTATTCTTATATCCAGAACAGGATAGGGAATTAAACCAACCCCTCCCCAATAAAAGAATTAAAGTCGACAATTAATAACATCTGTCACGAGCCCTGATTCTCTGATATATCTCATTATATGTGTATATATTCTTGGTTTAATTACTTCCTTGCTCTAAGTTCCACGTATATCTTTGTACTAGAGTCTGACTAGACTATTATTACTATAATAATCGCACGTCCTATTATGTAAAATACATAACATGACAATGTCACTACATTCTTATTTACACTTTGATATCCTTATCCTATTGTATTCGTGCGTAGCTAATAGGAATTTAGTCTCCTCCTTAACCTGGTTTTTGTTAAATAGGTGCTGCAGTGTCATGTGCAAGCAGGGATACTTAAAGATTACAACCGAAATAGCAAAACATCTGAGGGGCAGAATTCAACAGAACCAATAGACCGAATACACGTCATGCAATAAGTTTCCTCTTTTCCTTCCCTTTTAACGTAGTACTATATCTGATTACTAATATTAAATAGTGGAACACCTCGCTTTATCTACTATGGTTTGAGGGCAAAAGTATGTTAGCTCGCCCCATACAACAGCAGGGGTCAGAGGGGGTCACGTTACGCTTGGCCTGGAACTTGTGAATCGGACTTTCTCACTAATGCTTTTGCACTTGATCTCTTATGCCTCATAATTGCTTCTCATTGTAGAATAGTGCCTCTATGCAAGGTGGAAGGGGTTCAGCTGACGGCTTTCGTATTCACTACAATGTGATTCCTGACGGGTGGAACAAACCGGACTCATTAATAAGCTCTCAGCAGTGCCCGCTCTTTAGCCAGTTCTTTCAAACGGGCTGCACTTCCGGCCTCGAATCCTATGGGCCATGGTAGCATTACACGGACCCCCATCGTAAGCAAGTGTTGCGTTGTGCGACATTCGCTTGCCAGCGGGATCATTCTACTTTGTTTTTTTTTATTGTTTTCCCTTACTCCTTTTTCGTTCATGGGCAGGCCCCTCTTATTCACAGGTATATAAGGTCATTCGTTGTATGCCTAGTCTAGAAACTTCACACACGGTTGACATACTCTCTTCAGGCGTACATATTTCTGGAATCCCTAGTTCGAGACTATCACTCCGGGTCATCATGCGCACTTCATACCTAGGCTCTGCCCTCCTGGCTATTGCTGAAGTCGTTTTGGCTTACTCTAGCCCGATCTTAAGGGACAATGACGTCTTCCGGCGCGATGTTCTGACAAAGCTACCCAGAAATGCCGATGAAAATAGTCTCAGATTCCAACCGGCTCTCGATTTCGATAAGGATAGCTGCTACAATACTGCCGCTGTTGATGTGCAGGGAAACCTCAATCCAGGTCTACCAAACAAGGGTAGCCCTTCCGCTGGCTGTCGTGATATCTCACGGCTTGACAATGCGAACGTATATTCCAGAAGTCGTTGCAATAATGGCTGGTGCGCTTACATGTGAGTCGGCTCGAATCCCCAAGGCGTTTGTTCCTGCTAATAGATGACAAGGTATGAATACTACTTTGAGGTAGATAGAACAGGCCGAGGCACAGGTGGTCATGTCCATGATTGGGAAAATGTTGTTGTCTTTGTGCAAAATAACAAGAGGATTGCCCGTGTTGCACCGTCGGCGCATGGAGAGTACAAGGGGGCTACTAATAATCCTGTGCTTGATGGTGATCATCCGCTTATCGTCTACCATAAGAATGGTCTAAGCACGCATGCCTTTCGTATCGCTAAGGAGGAAGAGCGGTACGATGTTGAGAATGATTTCGGATGGTGGCAGATTGCTGATCTGGTTGCCTGGGATGGTTATCCCAGCGGCTTTGTTCAAGAGCAACTGACACATCACGACTTTGGAAAGGCAACGATTAAGCTGGTCGACAGCCGGTTCGGTGATAATTTAAAGAAAGCTGCAGGTGATTCCATTCCTGGGTTCGACCCATACCAGGGTTAAAGCCTTGCTACTGCACCAGATATCTTTGAATATTACACCTGTCAGTGGGACACGGAGCAGATAGTGATTCCAAGTCCAATGGGAGGCGAAGTGCTATGATAAATAAAAATCTTCTTACGCCCCATACTTGCGGGCAAAGGCAAAGACATAATGAGTAGCTCAGCCATAATGCTCCTATATAACAATCCTGATGATAAATCGGCTACAAGGACTCTTTTTGGATGATTTGAGCGGTCAGCTTATGCCGCAGATACTCTTGTATTACCGAGAAAGCCCCGAAAAGTTTGAGATTGATTGGAGGGAAACCTGACGCAGCGATTATCATATGCTCGACCATTATAATGACTCTCACGCCATATTACATCGGGCAGATCTCACTGTTTGTACTCAGTCACGAGATATTGTTCATCAGATTGGATCCGTCTTGTCAAATGACTAACCCCAATAAGTCTAGTATCCAACGGCCTGGAGCCTTCCGCACTGACGTATTGAGGATAAGCTACCTCACATGACGAGGCTGGCGTCAAGCTTAACCTTGGGAGCGGTGTACAAATCGTAGTCATAGATGATGGTCACTGTTTCGACACCCGACCGTGACAAACAGCAGCTGCAGTAGCATCAACAAGCGATTTCCCTAGACAAAGCAGACCCCGACATTATCGAGTATTACAATCATGTATAAACGATGAAATCATTCCTCCTCTTACATTAGTTTAGTGGCTTCCTTCGCATCATTCGAGGCATACAATTTCTCAGAGAATCGCGACAAACACTTAAGCATCAGCTGATTGACAACATACAGACCAGCACCTAGACCAATAGCGCCCAACATGAACCAAACCCAGGGTCGATCGCCAATCCACATCAAAGTCTTTGTATCGCCGTGGTGCCATGATGCACCCTCAAAATCGGTCAGGTAAGGCTCCAGCTCAGTAGCATTAATAATCTGCACCGTCTGCTCGGGAAGAAATGGCTGCTCGAGGAGGTAGTTCTTAAGGGCCATAGTAAGGAAGAGAGGGCCAGCAGAGACCATGACAGCGACATGGGGGAGGAGACGGGCCCAATGGCGGGTAAGATTAGTATAGATTTGGATTCGGGAGAGGGCCTTTGTGAAGGCTGGGTGATGGGGAGAGGCGATTATCATGTCGTTAGAGATACCGGTAGGCGTAGTAGACTTGAACACAGCATGGTGCATGGCTCCGCTAGCCTCGACCTGGTGGAGGGGAATAGTCTTGTTACAGAGGGTATCCATATCAAGGTAAATGCCGCCATAGTGGTGGAGTACAAAGTATCGAATAGCATCGGCGCGTTGAATGTTAAAGGGGAATGTGTCCCAAGTGTTAAGGAACCAAGGGTACTTTTCCGAGATAAAGACACGAGCTCTATCGTCGGTCCAGTGCTGCGATAGTTAGCATGCCTGGGTCTATAATCCCATATCAAGGTAGATAAACCTTATACTCAAAATCAGAGTAGGTATTTCTGCAGCTCTGTACCAAATCGGTCCAAACCTCGGGAACCGTCTCGTTTGCGCTTGTCTGGTGGAAGATTCTCGGTATTATCTGCTGCTCTGGAAGAGTGGGGGCGAACGAGTTATCATTGAGAGGGAGAGTAAGTCGGGCGCCGAACAATTCTTCGTTACGGCGGAGGAGGGTGATGAGGGGCTCGAAGGCATTAACAAGGGCGGCAACGATGAGGATATCGATGAAGAGGAGTATCATAGCAGCTCTGCTAAATCTCGGCAATCGAAGGTACTTATTGAGCACCGAAGTCGCCCACTCGAGACGTTCTTCATCGTAAGGTTGTTTGGAGTAGGCGGGCATGCGGCCATGAGTTGGTGAAGACATTTGTGTGGATGTGGGGTTATTAGAAAAGATGAATAAGAAAGAAAAAGGATAACTTGTAAATCAAGATTGAAAGTCAAGCCGAAACCGACAAGCGTGTTGTATTATCGAGGCCAAGACTTGAGCAGACAGCGTGCGCGCTTTTGAAAGAAGAGCGTCGACCCGCTCCCTGGAGTCGGAACTGATTACTCAGATTTACAGTAATAAGATCTTCCGGCAGCAATGGCCTCACACCAGACTGAACAGTCTGCTCATAGGTTAAAATATGGGCCACAAAGCACTTGAGAGAAATCGGACGCAGATATCGTGGTCGAGTTGATTAGAATGCTACTCTGAAAAGCACTGGATATGAAGGGATCTATACGGGCTCGCCGATATCTCCGGACGGGAGATCCATGCAAGATTGTTACACCATATCATCTTCTCTTCAGTAACCCAACTAGTAAGGACTAAGTCATGTGATGAGGGTTTTAGTGTGGGCTCGAGTCAAGCCATTGATACTGATTAATGGAAGAAATGTCTATGACGGGGTTATGGATGGTATCTCGTGATCTCGGCCGATATGACGGAACTACCAATAAGGACAAGTACCTAGTAGATGTCGTCTCTGACATTTATATTAACTGGAGAGTATAATAACTATCAAAGCACAGTCAAATCCTAGTAGCAGAGCTGACTAATTATCAAGTCTACTAGGTAACTAACCTCAAAGGCCCTAACAAGGAGTAGAGTTGATTTAGTCATTAGTTACCAGGGGAGCGTGTTCGCCTAGCAAGTTTCGAGGATTCTATACAAGAACCCTTCTTTTTTAAAATAATCTAATCGTCGAGTGCTATTCTATAAATCATCCTCACTAAAAACAACGCATTAGTAATACCTATACCTTCATGGCCAAGCACAGTCGGGTTGCCAGTAGAGTAAATGCGACACCAGTGTGGCAGACAGGAATCATTAAGAGTAACTTTTATGCGGAATTTACTAAGTACAAGTTCCGATTTTGCCTTTCCTAGTTCTATGCATGCTAAAACTCTTCAACGCATTCTGGGCCTGGCTTATAGCAGACCTGCTGGCGACTTTCATCCGAGTTCTGTGTCAAGATAGTTAATTAAAGGGAGCACTTTAGCAATTGCGACTTTAGGGGCATTTATATTAACCCCGGCGTAGTCAATATTGACAGCGCCAAGCTTGTAACTGGCGATTTTCATTTTGCCGACTCTTCCAGGTCCAGCAAGCAAGTTCCTCCATCACAACCCAAGTTTTATGATTTGGGCCCCACAACTGAAAACTCGAAGATTTAATACTACATTACTTCGTTGTCCAGCTAATTGATATTGTCCGTTTTGTACAGATGTCGATTCGATTACAACCCCACATTGAATCCAGATTTCTCGGCGCCGCTGATTCAGCTCACGAGGACCGGCGAACAGCTGACCTTCTGGAAGGTGGAAGAAGGGTTATTATCAAATCTTGCCAGAGCATGTGAGCCGGTGGCGTCATCGTGATCATTTTCTGCCTAGACTTGTAACAAGCGTGCTCTTCTCCTGGACGGGTGACCTCAATAAGTTTTCCGATGTCACGGTGGGTTATGTGCCATGGCCCTGCTCTAGGCCGCAGAAGCCATCGGAGAAAACTATGTAATAAGGCCGACCCACTGCATAAGCGTGTGAGTAAGCGAAAATTAGTTATTCCGAGTGACTGAAAGTGCAGATTGTATTAAGGCAAGACTCGCCTGTCATTAGACTTTGCCGAGAGCAGATATTAGTTCACAATCAGCAACCCCATCGCAATTCCAATTCCTGTTCTACACAAGATAAAGGCTTACCCTAGTTTTATCATAACATGAAGGAATACCTCATCTCCGGAAAGCCCGAGTTCAAGGGAATCCTGAGGGATGCTGAAATTCCGTAAGTGTTGTCATTAGCATGCATTTAGAGCGAAGATATTGATTTGAATCAGCAAACCTGGGCCCAACGATGTACTCATCAAAGTAGTGGCCGCTGGGCTGAACCCTAAGGATTGGAAGGTGGGCAGTCGAACTCAGGAATACGGGCATCAAGTTCAATCTACTAACTCAATGTACCAATAGTTCACCAAGGGTCGCGCCGAGTCGGAAGCCCTGAATGCTGGAGATGACGTTGCAGGCATTGTTAAAGAGGTTGGCTCCAATGTTTTTGAATACAAGACAGGAGATCGAGTCGCTGCTTTCCATCGTATGGGGCATCCAGGCGGCACTTATGCCGAGTACTCGGTTGCTCCAGCATCTACTGCATTTCACCTTCCCCCAAATGTCTCATTTGAGGATGGAGCGGGAACGCCGCTGTCCTTCATCACGGCTGCATTAGCTTTATTCCAGTATCTGCAGGTCCCCCCTCCTACAACTCCCGGTCAGAAGAACATTGGTATCCTTATCTACGGCGGTTCTAGTGCTGTGGGTTCATACGCGCTACAACTGGCAAAGTTAAGCAACCTTTACCCTATCATTACAGTTGCTGGCTCTGGAATTGACCACGTCAAATCCCTCAATGCTGCAACTCATATCATTGACTATCGAGAGGGCAACGTTAAGCAACAGATTCTAGATGCGGCTAATGGGGCAAAAATCACCCTAGCATTTGATGCGATCTCTGGGAATGACAGCTACAAGGCAGTCACTGAAGTGCTTCAAGCAGCGGGCGGGGGGCATATCAACATGGTTGGTCTCCCCACGGACCCCAGCTGGAGCTTTCCAGACGATGTCCGAGTTACGAGAACATTCGTCAGTTCAGCATACGGAATCAAGCACAGCGGCATCACCGAAGAGCAGGCTAAGGCAGACGAAGAATTCTCTTACCTCTTCTATCGGTACCTGAGCTTCCTTCTTGCCAAAGGGACATTCAAGCCACACCCTATTCAAGTTCTCCCAATGGGCTTCATAGCATTGTTGATGGAGTAAACGCGTTGTATGAAGGGCGTGTGAGTGCCAAAAAGCTTATTGTTCGGTAAGTAAGTCTTTGTTATGAACTATGACATGCTTGTTAACATGTGCCAGTGTTGCCGCCGAGTGACTAGACGTGGTCTTGCATATATCTATTTCTGAAATCACGGCTAAGATCTGAATGGGATGTCTTGCTTCACATATAGAGGAATCCAAAGATGTTGATACATTTTATATGTATTGTTTTCATTAGATACTACGCCCATACGATAGCCAGAAATCATATGCCCTCACCCTTCAACATTCAGGCGTAGCTGATATCCGTTGAACACTGGCATGGTTCAGATAATCTCCGTGCATTTACACACATCAGTTGAAGCAGCCAGTCTATAGTATAGTCGATTAACATAATCGCCGATAGACCAGCATATAACGCTCATTACCAGATGGTTTTCTGTCTCAAAATGCATGCCAAAACCCTTCAACGTCCTCGAAGATTTGGAATTGAAGAGCTTACCATGTTCTACAAATGCTACAGTTCAAGTACTCCTAGGGCAAGTGTCTTTTACTCATCATCGCCCTAGAATACATATTTCTTATGCCTCACGTCCTACTAGCCGAAGCCCTCCCTGTGTTGCACTCAACTGCATCCCGTTTCCTGACCGCCCCTTACTTCTCTTTAGATTGTAACTGACAGGAGCACATGTAAAATGTAGCTCTTGGATAGGAAGGACGTCCGCCACATCAATGTGGCTGTAGAAAAATACCTGGCTCACCCCACGAAAGCAATCCAGCATCTATGAATCTAGAATTCATGAAATCATAATCGAAGATGAAGTCAGGTTCATTGCGGATTTCGGTGGTCAACTCTATACCATCCTGCATGTGTAACTCTCCAGGAACAAGACGTATGTCGTTGTCATATACTGAGGTTGTAACATTATCTGCAGGTTGTTCTTCGATGCTAGTGCTGCCAGTTGTTGATAACTGTCTGTTTGTTCTGCTTTCCTTGTCCATATTGAAGCCCGTCTCTGATCGGAGTTTGGCAAGAATGGCCTCGAGAAGACTATCACTCGGGCTTGTGTTGGGTGATTTTGCCACACCAAGCAATCCAGCTGCATTAGAATAGGCAGCAGTGGCATTATGCAGTGCTTCCAACGCTTCATGCATTGAGACCATTCGTAATTGGAATGCTAGCTTCAACAACTTTGGGAAGACCATTGCCACATAGGCTACCATGAGATGTGCTGCGTCCCAGAAGTAATATAGGGCCCCGGTTTTGCCAATCTGGGTGATTTGCCGCAGAATGACGAGTGCACTGCTGTAACAAACTTCGAAGGTTGTGTATACGTCAATATTTCGAGTGGCTCTGTCTTCGATAGTGAGTATTCGGTGCAAGAGAACAGAATTGAAGTAAAGGCGTATGTAATCTCTATGTATAAGGATGACAGCGGTGTGAAACGGTTAAGGGTTTAGAGCTAGTTTACCTATCAGCTTTAAGTCTGGAAACACGCTTGCATGCCAGAGTTAGCTTACTCTCTGTAAAAGACTGCTTCCAGGATTCTGCCCATGCAACCATTTCCATATTGAGTATATGTAGTTCTTCTTGGAAAGCTTGAAGCTCCTCTATAGAATGGGACAGTTTTCGACTTTTTCGTGTTAACCTCATCATAGTATATGCAGGATGAGCAATCTTGGACAGCTCGTATCCTCCTAAAGCTTTGGCATCCCTAAAAAAATAGGTCCACTTGTTATAGCCAAGCCATGATCGGAGTTCGGCGTCTCTATTATTTAAAATTGATATGAGAGGCCGATCTGCAAGGTAGCTTGCGCTATTTCAAAAACGAGGTTACGACGTGTTAATAATATCACTCGGAGGGTGAAACATACGTTCGATCTAAGTTCTCTAGAGCCAACCAGATTCTGGCTTCGTCTCTTCGCTGCCTGACCTCAACTTCGGTCTTGGTAACGTGATGCGATTCCTCTTCGTCAGAGATGTGATTCTGAGGCTTGTTCCATTGAGCAGAGGCAGCTAGTCGTAACGCAAAGCCAATCAAAGAGTAACCTCTAGTGTCATTAACATCCTTCCAGTGATATAAGCAAATTATAGCCCAGACAGTCTCAATAGCGGAATCGCATGATACTAATGCCGGTACTGACCGCTTTGTCAGATTTGGTAATGTCTGACTTCGCAAGTGAGGATGCGTCAAGAAGTCGGGCCCATCCAACACAAAGATGAGAGTGGCTTCTATATGAAAGACATGAGTGGAAAACCATGTTAGCTGGGACTCCTACCTGAGGGTTGCGTGCGGTGTAAGGAACATATATCCCGGGGCATGATGTAACCCCTCTCTTTCATTGTTCTTGACTTCTTGTCTTTGATGTGGACCAGCATGCTAAAATGGAGTCCTAACCTGTCCGTGATTAGCGCCACCTGTGGGCCAGCTATAGTCTGGTGCTGTGCCATTCAAGACATTCTATGCTTCGGAAGTTAAGTACTGATTTGCCGTTTCCCCACCAAGACACCGGTGTTTAATTCCGTGCGGCCGGTCATCTGAGGTGCGCCGAGAAAATCGGAAGAGCGGTCAACAACGACGCACAGCGGGCGCTGAATCTGTGGTCATGCATGGTCATGGTCATGGCCCCATCTGACGCTTTCTCGGGCTGGCAATGTTTCATTGGACCAGCGTAAGCTCAGGCAATCACGGGTTCTAACGTAATCCACCACCAGTCCGTACACCCCTGGACCCCGGACACCCGTGATAGCCTCACATCAATAACCGATAGATGACTTCAATCAATTATACCGCTACGAGTATTTATTTAATTTGACTAAAACGTTAGGTACTGGCTGAAGAACTGACTTTCCGCACTTAGTGTTTTTTTCCTTTTTTTCCGGGAAGGTTTGCGCCGGTTTTCGCTAGTTCAATGCAACACATTTTTTCAGCCTGATCTCTCGCTGTAATAATCTGGTCGGCGTTAGGGAAAGCTTTATTAGGATTAAATCGAACAGGGACTCGGCCGATAGGTTCTCTTATACCTTTCTGAGCGATTAATATAACCTTTTCCTCTTCCAAGCGTTACATCTGACTGTTCTTTTCGTTAAGGGATTTCCCTGCTCTCTTTAATAGACTTATGAACTCCCTTATCGAGTTATTTCCCCCCCTCCTGACTTAATTAATTTCTTTTTGGATATCCTGACTTCCTTGAGGCGTCCCCCACGTCGGATTTGTAGTCACAGGAAGTTTCCTTGGTGTTATAGGTTGGAAAAAAAAAACCCGTTGTTGCTCCTCTGTGGGTTTTAATGGCTCTAATGCGTTCTCGGGTCGAGTAGGGTAAATTCCAGTCGTCTTATACTCTTATAGGATATTCCTGCGAGATATGGCTTTCCGGGAAGCTGTCTCATGAGCCTATAGGAAGAGTTACTACGGCTAGGGGGACATCGCGTTATATATCCCCCAGTTTCTCTTTAACTGCTAATAATACTGTTTTAACGGGCTAAATACTATTACATTAAGCGGTTAAGTAATATATAGTAAGTATAAGGGAATCCAGTTAAACCAGACTCAATTTAACCAAGCATTTTCCATTAATTCTACTGCAATATAAGACTTATATAAGTTGAGGACTAATACCCTCCAGACAGTTGGGTCTTCTAGCTCAGTTTCCAGTAGAAATACAAGCTAGAACTACTTAAGGAAGATAGCGCTATTAAACTAACCCGTTAGACTTACATTATACTTCTAATAGGGAAAAGCCTTAGGAAACCAATATCTCTAAAGCTTATTACCGGTAAATATAACACAGGGGGTCAGACGACAACCGTCTGCGCTAATAGATTCGATTATAGAGCTCTAGGTCGTAGAATCCGACTTTATCTTCTCGGCAACTGACGTAAAGACCATCCTAGCAACTACGACGAGGTGGATTTCCCTCTATTGGACTCCAGTCTCGTCCACATTATATATTCTCGATGAACTAACTAACTTAGGCCATACGACCTAATCCAAGCTGCGTAGTAGTCTTATAATAAAACTTCCGTTACATAACATTTCCTCGCAGCATCAATAACTCGTGATAGCTTTATTTCGACACTAGGATAACGGGGAAGGATCTATCGACCCAGTTCTTGCCGAGGTAGTTGACTTCTCCGTTGAGAGACAACAGGGCTTAGGCAAAATCGTATATTTCTTACTTCATAAGCGGAAAGTAAGCTTTCTCTCGTTTAATTATATACTTAATTAAGTTATATTCTTATATTACAGTTGCAGGTTGGTCTTTTCGTGTGCAGAGCGTATATTCGCTGCTCTATTAACTCGATCGCGTAATGTCGAATGCTTGATCGTGTGGCGACGCGCCAATGCGCGTAATCCAATGGTTTCCACGTCTTCTACGGCTAAAGCTTTATCGATTTCTTATCTGAGACTAGCGATTCCATTGCAGTAGGAACGAATTGATTTAGGCTAGAATTTATAATGTTATAAATTGATTAGTTATCTGTTGTGACGATATATGGACGGTGTTGTGGTGGGCGGGGTCTAGGGGTGTACGGACTGACAGTGGATTACCTTACCACTCGACGACATGAATGGAAGTGCTACTACTCATGTGCCACATGTGCCATTCATTGTAAAGCTTGCTTAGAATAGGACTCCATTTCTACGGAGCAGATGACTGTGCATCACCTTCGTGTGAAAGGCGCCTTGGAGTCCAGCATGGATCAACTCAGCTCTCCTAGCCACGTATCACCTAACAGTTTCTGCATATATTAGCCATTGGCATACCTCCCGTCGGGTCGTGTATCAGCCACAAATTGAGCACTGATGATCGGTGTTATGCAAGAGTTGTTCTCAAGTACGGGATTCTGCAAAGGGGGCGAGCAGTTCCGTTCCCGTTCCCGTTCCCGTTCCCGTTCTCGTTCTCCACAAAAGACCGCCTGGTACAAAATCAACAGTTTACCTACCTACCGACTAAACTATGACGAGGGTATTTATCCGCATCTATGTGTAACACGTAATTGATCCAACTTTTAGCTACCAAAAATGACGAGAGACTCACCCCACAGTGGTTCTAACCTAACAATAGCAGATCGACACCATGACCTCCTATTGAGGCTCTCAGGGGAAATGCAGATGGAGTACAGTGAGTGGACGAATGAAGATTTAATGTCACAGGATTGGTCTGATCATATTGATTGAATCCCGCAATCATTTATTGGCCGTAATGGCTTGTTGAGCTGGCCCATTTTATATACTCAATACTAATGTATAAAGTTTAAAAAAATTGGAATAGGCTGAATAGCAATTGCTTCGTTTGAGTGTTATTGAATGAGAATAGAGACGGAGAAAATACTATGCATAGGCCAATCACTATGTAAATCTCACCAGTTATTTTATTTCCATGTAGGTCCACCTTTAACGGGTTGCAAGATCGATTTTGTGGTCTAGCTGGTATAACACCTGTCGCTCTACTTGCTACCCTTTTTATATCTCAGATTTTGACAGCTAATGAGCTCATGATCGACACCAGCGGACACGAAAAAGAAAAAGAGAAAAAAAGATGAAAAAAGAGTCCAAATTCAGGTCCTTATACCTCAAGGATAGAAATATTACTTGTCTCGCCGACAGCTCTCTTTACAACTAAGACCAATTCGTCCAGCGCCGCAAACATTTGAAGGAGAGCGTTCAGTAGCACGACATATTTTCGCAAGCCCTCGTTGTCCATGGTATAATCCTTGTTGAATTCACTGTTGCCAAGCACCTTTTGAATGCGACGCCTAGTGAATACAACCTCTCTAGTAAACAGCGGAGTTGGTAACAAAGCAGGAAGCGGATCGTCTGTTTTTAGACTTTGTTGAACTATTGTGAGGACTGCCATGACCTCAACAACCATGTTTTCCTTGGTTTTATCAGTGGATTGAATTACTGATTTCCGCTGTGCGTCTGATAACCTTGTCGTATATACTAAGAGCTGTGTGACAGACTGTTGTATGAGCATACAGAGCTGGCATACGCGGTCGAGTGCACGGGTGTCGAAGTTGGAGGATGAGAATTCGAACACGGTTAGCTTGATTGGCCCTAATATCGACATGAGATCCCCTATCGCTTTCAGAGACTCTTCCTCGGCCACAGTATGTAAGTCTTGCGCAGGCGCTTCCCAATTAGACACAAAAAGTGCGTATTGGTCTCGTATACTAATAAGGCTCTTGCCAAGTTGGTGTCGATAATGGCGGCTGGCGGAAGGAGGCTTCGGGAAGAAATTGGTGATAAAAGTGCCACTTAAACCAATGAGAACCAGTGTAAGGCGCCTCCAGAAAACTTCATAACCCTTGCTAGGGTTTCCATACGGTTCATTGTGCGTATCAATCCAGCTGTAGATAACAACAAGGTGCGCGGTTATTCCCATCATGACTCCTGCAGGCATCAACGCGAGAGAGGAAAAGACGCGCCACCACATGAAGGGGAGAATCACCAAAGCCATGGCGGCAGCCTCTCCATAAGGATTCCCTGGGCCGCTGCCGGAACCGATATACCATGCAGTCATTCCAACGACTCCACCGACGATTGTCCCGGTGACTCTCACAACAATCCCGTACACAACATCCGCCGTGTATGGAAGTAGAGTGAGCTGCGCCATAATAACAGCCCACAGGCCATTTTCTCGATAATAGAAGCCTGCGCTGGAACTAACGACGGCCGGTATGGACAGAGAGATAGTCATTATCACCATACGAAGGGCGAACATCCCTTCAGCATTTCCTAGCCAGCGCGCGACTACCAACAGGGGCTGACTAGCTCTGCCCCTTCTGCGATTGTGAGGTGTTCTCATTGAAGTGAGCTCTACCCGGCTTGACTTGGCATCTGGGCTTGTCTGAAGCCCTACCCGCAGGCCGTAATGCGCTGATGCAGTCGTAGGGCTGCGGACAATTGTGCTGTCGTCAATATCTGCAGCGGGTATTCCTTCTGAGTTTTCTGTCGTGCACATCCAACCTAAAACAGAAGCCATTCGAGTGGGCAGCCAAAGCCTGAAGGAACTGCGATTTTTTTCCAGTTCGATAACTCTCGATTGTAGCTGTGATAGGGCACCCGCTAGTTGACATAGTCTCTCTTGGATGAGCAGCCCCATCATGAGGCCCGTGAGTCCTGGAATAGTGCCAGATTCGGCTTGGACAATACCATCGTCGTTAAAAATATGAAAAGACGATAGAGAAAGATGCCCAGAAGTGGAGGAATTGAATACTTTGATTTGTTCTCTCAAATTCTCAAGGACTGCAACGTGTCTTTGCAACGAGCTTTTGTAGCCAGCGTTTTGTTTGAAAGTACTTGCATTGATCAAAGCTTCGTTGATAGCTGTCAGAGCCTCTTTGCATGTATCAATCAAATACTTGGTCGGTTCAGACAGCGCCCGGAGATTTCGCTCCGCTTCTTCAACATGTTGCCAGGTTTTTGAACGTATGTGGAACTCAGCCTCTTGATTCATCTGATGTTGTCCGGTCTCAAGATTGCCTTGACCACCTTGCATCGAAACCAAGGCCAAAGCCTTCTCAGATCTTTCCTTGTGGGCTTCTGCTTGTCTGTGTATCTCGAGCAAGCTAATGAACTCAACAATGAGATTTTGTAGCGGTGTAGTGAGATTGACCAAGTCATCTCCATTCCACCTTCCCATAGAGAAGTCAATGGGAAGAAACGCACTTATGGATTTCAGACGACTGTATGATGCCAAGAGTTTCAACTTTACCCCAGTTAACTTGTCAGTGCTCATTGTAATACTAGGATATTTAAGTCCGAGGTAGCAGGCATCCAGAAACGTAGGCATCGGCGCCAGCAGGTCTTGAAATAGGTTAAGAGCTTCAGATGCAGAAGAGGATGGAAAGATAAAGATACTGCAAACCATAGCAATGCCTTCAGCGATAGCGCAGGGAAGAACCAATGGCCTCGCAATATTTCCATTGAAACTTGGTAAAAGCGGCGCCTGCGTGAGAAACACAGCACTGACTATGCAGCCCATCATCTGCGTAAGCCTGAGCTTCGGAGCAGCCACGCGAAGGCGAGCCTAGAGAGTTGAGTAATCATATCTTGCTCGCTGATCACTGGTTCACTTACAATCATATACAGGTACACACATATCATACAGAAGTACGTCGCCGTCACGTTTAAGTCCAGCATGAAACCGTTCAAAATCTTGACCTCGGCAAAGATATGAGGGTCAGTGGCATTCTGAGATGCGGCCATTCTCTGAAGCTCGGCAAGCCGGGATTGTGTATGCGCTTCCGATCGAGTGGCTAGTGCAGCCTTCATGGTAATTAGACCCCAACCCCATGCGGTTGTGACTCCCAGCATTACGGTGATAGCAGCTATCAGGTTTATAAATATCGTGCCTGATGGTGGTGCAAGCCATAAGACAATGCTGAAAGCGGTCAGCACGGAAAAATAAACATGAAAAGAAACAGAGCCGAAGTTCTGTGGTCAACAGACGACGGAAAAACCTACCAACCAAGAAAAGACGCCTGGCCCATTTCATCTTGTATGGGGGGAATGTAGATAAAAACGGTCATGATCCACATAGCAACTGAGCATCTGAAAAACATCTTGAGATCTCTAGCGTTGAAATGATCGAGCCACATTGGAAGCTTTCGACGTGGTGGTGATGTTGTGTCTGTGTTGGTGAAGTATGGGTTCTCGACCGATTGAGGTGTTTCCTCAGCAGAGCTGGTCTGACGACCCCCGTCCCTCAAGTCATTGCCATCTGCGGCAGCTGTTTGGCTGGGACCAAACATGGTAAATCCACTCGGTGAGTTGAACTGTGGCCACAAATAGACCGTCAATACTTGTCAATGATATTGAGCAGAAACATGGGCGACCGGAGCGTGTTAATTAGATTCTTTTGTTGGCGCAGATCAAGAAGAGTGATCGCTTCAGTGTGCCCAGTTGCTGAACGATGCGTATTCTCGACCTGAAGACCAAGAGATATACTAGGGGAGCTTATTCCGAAATATTGCTTGATCTGATTACGAGGCTTGACAAGTGCTAGGCTTATAAGTCATGTTAAGTTAAATTAGGTTGTGAATTTGTGAGAGGAGTCCGGATTGTTTAGTAATCACAAAAGGAGTGCATGTAAAGGTAGACTCGGAGGCGGGCTGAAGCGATTGTCTTTTTGAGTCAATTCGAAATGGTAGCATATAAAACGCAACAGGGATGTATCTGGGTTGATTATGTGAGAAACCCCGACTCGGGCTGATTATCTACGACCCGACCTGCATTTAATGGAGTACGCCCTGTTTAGCCAAGCGGGGCAGCTTCGGCTTGCTTATTTTGAAATACCAGACATCTCACAGACACACATGTTGCCGTGGGAAACCAATCAGCTTTTCTTCGCGGGGGCAAATAGATTTATCTCAACCCAATCTGTCGGGTGAATAACCGATACCGCAACATCGAGTTACTAGATTGCAGGGCCGTTTTTTATATCCCATCAATCCGATCAAGGTAATCATGAAATGTGGATCATCAGAGTGTTCACATTCAGGGTTGAGATTTTACTTTCAGCATGGTTTCCATCACGTCCTGGCATGGATTCAAGTGTATGGGTGGCCTACCCTAAGCATCGAGTACAGAACAGGATTCGATTGCAGCAAATAGATGTAAGCGTCGGATTGCGGACCAGGCTATATTTGTATTTGCCCACTCATCATACCTTGGAGAAGAACAACAGCCTGGCATGATATTCACTTCTCTTTTTTTCATGTGATACGAACCTTAGAGCAGCGAGCAACTATGACTGCACAGTTTGATAGATAGAAACAAACAAATTTAGAGATTTAATCCCATACGCGGTACAATAAGTAAATTAAACTATTTGTAGCTGTTTTGAGATACTTCAAAATATCTGGTGGTGGAACAGAAAACTATTTAAGCCTTGATTCCCATAATGTCACCACTGCAGCCCGTTCTTCTGGAGCAGCGGATCGAAAATCTTCTATACCCTGTCTCAATCTGATTAACAAAACCTGGCTCTTCAATTTAGTAAGCCGATGCTTTGCTAGCTCCTTTTCAACTCCCTTGAGGGCGTAGCCTGGTAGAGCAAATATTGCTGTCACTTCTATTAGCATTGCGTTGTGTAGGCAGTCTGTCGTCCTTAAGGTGGTCAGATTACAATGGGAAACTCACAAGCTCCAACATTATATGCAAACCCCCTTGCGCCACGAAGCACGCCTTTGCCAAGCCCTTTTGCGCCCTCACCCTTCGTGCTCTCATATGGCTTCATAACAACACCACTAAAGGCGTCCCAAAATCCCAGCACGAATTCTTCGCCTGCTACCCGGAGACCACTTCCTAAACCGGTGATCTCCCCACGCCGTCGCACTTCTGTCGCGCCGAAGCTGTAAGAGGGATAGTTGTGAAAGCCATTCGCAATATTATAAAAAAACGCAACAGGCGCTTTTAGGCTTGCCTTGGTTACGTCGACAGCAAATCGTCCCGTAGCGCGTGCAATATAGTACGCATGACCATTTCTACCTTGTTCCTGTGCTCGCCAAGCCGCTTTCTGCTTATCATACGCTGTTGGCGCTCTCTGAGTTTTGGCAACATCAGGTTCAGCAGTACGAAGCGACTTGGTAGCTATTTTGTAAGCTATGGTTTCCATCTCCATGGGAGTCAGTGGATTGGAATCCAAGAATCCCTTGAGGATCCCATCATGGTCCTTAGTATTATTCCTTGAGGACGTGGGAAATTTTGCACCTTCATCGACAATGATCGCGGATGATGAAGGCTGATGAAGCATCTCGCTCGAAGACGCTACCGGCCTATGGCGGCCTTTTAGGCGGCCATGATAGTCACTCGCCGCCGTACTTAAAGCTGTGAAAAGTCCGGAGGCAGCTGCCACAGCACCGATGATAGGGTGCTCAGCACCCTCATTAACATACCAGTGCTTGTGCTGAAGGAGCTTGCTGTCGTTCGGCTGGACTAACTTTTTGTCGACTAGGCAGGTCATGGCGAAACCGCTGAGACGAGTGCCGGTTGGCTTATGTTTCCATATCGCCAGCCTGTCTGGGCACAAGTCGCATCGGAGGTCGTCGACACCTAATCGGTTTAGAAAATCCATAGCTGTATTGCTGGCTCCGTCCTCCTGCGTGATGGTCTGTGCCACTCTTTGTACTGCTTCTTTAACTTCTGGATTGAGTGTAAACAGTATACTTGCCGCTAGAGACTCTGCTGTCATTTCCTTGAAAGGTATTGGAGTTGGACCAGCGCCTGCTCGTGCTATCATTTGTCCCCAGAATGGCTGGTCGCCAAAGAAGGGAACAACAACAGTGGGCCGCCCAGCAGCAATACCTGCAGCCGTGGTGCCAGCACCCCCGTGATGCACAACAGCAGAAACGCGCTGAAAGAGCCAGTCGTGAGGGCAGTTGCCAATAAGATACACATTTTCTGGTACGCCAACGTCTCCACCGCCTAGCGTGCCCCAGCCCTGGGAGACGACAGCGCGAACGTTAGCAAGTTTGACAGCATTAAAGACTAAGTTCGTAAGAGCTTGTGGGTCTTCAACCACTATTGAGCCAAATCCGATATATACCGGAGCGGTACCCTTTTCTAGGAATGTGACTAGATCTGGCGGGGGAGTATAAGAGGATGCCAGTGGTAAGAATGAAAAGCCGGTGATATTGATGTGAGAGGCCCAGTCAAACGGCTTAGGAATTAAAGATTTCGACCATAGATAGCTATGTGGCACACGGAGCCTGGAGAGAAGCTGATACCCCCACATGGGACTGATCGGATCAAGGCGTAATATCTGGGTGCGGAGCTTATTAATTAGGTCTCCAAGCCTGCCTCAGACAATTATGTCAGCATAAGACAGATATCTGCAAATTTTTTATCACAACCTACCCTTGCCACGTCAGAAGCTCGAGCATCATAAAAGACAGGTAATTAGCCACTGCTGCATCTGCATCACCATAACTCATAGCAGCTAAGGGGTGAGAAAATATTTCTGTAGGTGACCACGGCATAGTGAAGACAATATGTAATGGTATACCTAGCTTTTCAGCGCAATGTATATGGGCCATAGATGGGGGATTAGCCATAATAGCATCGGCAATGAAGAGATCCTTGGGCGACTGTATATTAGCTGCCTTCATCGCGCCTGCCATTCCATCACCAGCCTCGATACAGCTGCGCCATGCGCCATGCATGATCTCCCACATTTCTTTCCGTCTCTTACTAATATCTCCATCTTTAACACTCTTGAGACTCGGTAGCAAACTTGGGTTCTTTACCATATAGGCCATGAGCGCCTCCGGATCGCCACCGATACTGAAGAATTCAATACCTTGTCCTTCAATAAAGTCCTTAAAGACAGGATGCGTGCAAATCCGCACTCGATGGTTGAAAGGTGGCCTAGACAGCATCTGGGCGATTGGGATGAAAGGTTGAACATCTCCGCGGGAGCCAACAACATGAATGGCAATGTTGAGGCGCGGACTGGCCAGTGCAGCGACCCCGGGGGCAGCGTTTCCACATGTCGTCTCGGCCTGTGAAAGTGGCGCATCTGCTGCGTCTCCGCCAAACTCGGACTGGAACTGCTTGCACCATGCTTTGAGTATTTGTGGGCTGTCATGAAAACGGACATCAACGCGACCTTGGTCGTCGACCTTGCCAGACGGTGCATGTTCGACATCATCGAGAGCGATGTGCCCAGTCCAATCGGACCTGATCCCTCCGGGCGGCATCTTCGGGTTTTTTTTTTTTTTTTTTTTTTTGATAGTGAAAATGGTCGGTTTATGAACGATTGATGTGAAAGCAAGACTGATGAACTGATTTCTGCTCTCGGCAGGTGGGTACATGAATTGATATCCGGAATACTCGTCATGTCAGATAAGTTAAATATATATATTACTATCGCTGAGGTTGTTGGTAGCCAATCACTCTAAGATGGCGCCTTGTTGCTGAGTGATCAATAATGTGTGCTCATAAAATTACAGTCATCCATTGTGGGTCTGCTCGGCCTGCTTATGCAGCATGGCGCTCAAAAAAGTGAGCATTCCCCAGGCCTTGGCCTCTTCGTGGCGTCAAGTAGCGATTAGAAGCCTCTTAAAATCGGCAGTCCCAACCCATACGCCTGCATTGGCTAGTAATTTCCTTCGATTGAGTAAATCTACACACCTGTCATGGCTAAGCAGCTTTACAGAGGTGATGGCCCCGTCGGTCGCGCTCGCACCCTTTCTGTCTCAATCATGAATGCAAATCCTCAGTTAGGTGTGTGGCAGGCAGCAGGCACAGCCATAGCTCAAGCACCAAACCTCGAAGAGCTCCGTAACCCTGAAATGGGAGGCTCAAATATATCATTTAACACGCAGGGCCACTCGGCCCGTTTTGCAGTACAGAATCATGATGGCGAGTGGGCACTGGCGACTTCTACTACAAACCGACCTGTGTTCTCGAACCCTATATTCACCAAGGCACCATTCACAGAAAATGCCATGCCGGAAGAAGTCATCGGTCCCAGAAGAGATCCTACAACTTTGGAAGAAAGTCATCGTCATTCGCGCCAACGGCGACAGAGTCTTTATGAGCGTCACAAGGGTGGCGAGAAGGAGAATTGGGGACGGACAATCATTCATGGTTTCAAAGCCTTTTGGAAGTTCTTTAAAACGCCGTCCGGATTGCTTCTCACTATTTACTTCCTCAATATTGTCGTAAGTCCAGGAATTGCTAGCACACGCTTGACAGAATACTAAGACACCGACGTAGGCATGGGGAGTAAGTATACGGCATATATGGAAACGTAAACAACTTACCTTTCATTGTTCGACTAACTCCTATGCAGGCCATGCTTTTCTTTCTCCTGCTGAACGCGGCCCCTGCTATGAACCACCCAAGCGCTAATGATGTTAACTCACCCCGCAAGAAATGGCTAGAAATTGACAGTCAAATTCTTAATGCATTGTTTTGCGTAACAGGGTTTGGGCTTGCGCCATGGCGCTTCCGTGATCTCTTTTTTTTCATAAGGGCGACTTTTTTCAAAAGTCAAGATTCAATGACGAGGCTTGCTGAACAAAACAAGTCCTGGTTTCGTCCACCGCCGACTTGCACTGACCAAAATGATTTAGAAATGGCCTCGACAAGCAAAACTGATGGTGTTGTGCACATTTTGACGTTTACTGGTGAGCAAGCACCACCAACTCCGCTGTGGAAGCTAGGATTCATCATTTGGATGATGGTGTTGAACACGATTCTGCAAGCCATCCTATGCTATTACATGTGGGCATATAATAGAATCAACAGGCCTGTAGGTGGCATTCGGAAGTGAATATCGTGCAAAACTGACATAAGATCATTAGACATGGGCCACCGGAACTTTCATCGCACTAGGCTGCTGTGTTGCTATGCTTGCAGGTTTGATGTCGTGGTGGGAAGGTCGCAAAATAAAGAAAATTGAGGGACCACTAGTAAAGGCGGTCGAAGTTTGAGAAACAACTTCACAGTGGAGACCGCCAGCTCCTACCGAAGACAGCAGTGTTGTTAACCTGACTAGCAACCCGACTAGCAATGAGTTAATCAACCTTGCTGCTGGCTTTGTGATGAAAAAACGAACACGTCTTAGAATCAAGTAGAGTATCAAGTAACAGTACCAAAGTCGTGAAGTGTATGTTTCGGCACCTCAGTGAATTAAGAATTAATCTAACGTTAATACCCCGCTCGAGTGCGCTGTGGCTTTGTCTTTCTATGATAGAACCAGATAAGACTCGGCTGTAGGACGGTCTGTTTCAGTGCCAGTCAGTGGCAACCCCTTCTCCTACTAGTGCGCTGTGTGTGCTATCCCGAGTAAGAGTTCGCGTTTCTCTAGACAAGTTTTACAGAATACTCGACTTTTATCATGTAGCACCTTGATGTATCGTCTTGCTAATTGCTTGGTATACCTTTAGACACTTCCGCCCCATCGTTGGACATAGCTTCGGCTAAAAATTAAAGCAGCCCACTGGTAAATACAACATTGCCATACCAGTTGGCTGGAGCCGGGGGGAGGCCAACTAAGCAAGCTTAGGCACAAAAGGTAAGATAACCCTGCTTAACCGACTATCGCGAATTTTATTAATTTTATATGTAGAATGAATATAAATTAAGATAGTAATTAATAAAATGAATATTATTTTTATCTAAATATATTATACCTTTAGATCCTAACCTTAAAGCTACTTATATAGTAGTTTTTTTATATTAATAACCCTAAAAGAGCCTCTTTTATAATATTTTTAAAAGGCTAAAAAAGCCTCTTTCTTTATAAAATACTAAAAGTTAATATAAAGGCTTGAAAAAGTTATTTATTATATATATTATTAAAAAAGTTAATATTAATTAAACTTTTTAATATATATAAGTTTATAATATTAAATAAATAGTTTTTTTTTTTTCTTACTTTTAACCTTATAATAGGCTATCTAGCTTTTTAGCTTTTTTTATAAGTAATATAAATAAAAAGACCTCTATAATAGGCTATTATAATAAAAGTCAATATTAAATAAGGTTTATTTACCTTAATAATGTAATTACTATCTTAACTAAGTAATATAAATATTAATTACCTCTTAATAAGTAGATTAATCTTCTTTTATTAACCCACCTAAAAGACTACTCCTTAATTATCTTCTATAACCATGCCTAATTTACCTATTATAAAATATATTACCTAACCTGACTTTTCCTCTATTAGTTATACTTATTAATATTAATTATAGCTATTATTATAATACCTTATAATAGCCTGCAGCTTAATTAGGGCTATTATATAACTAATTATAATCTTATTAATATAATTAAACTAGCCTTAAAGCAAGCTATAAGTAAAGATTATTATATATTATATATAATAGCTATAATTATTAAAAAGAATTTCTTATTAAAAGGGAAGTTTAGCCTAATTAAGATAGCTATTTTTAATTATAACTTAATTAAGTTATTTTATTATATAAATCTAAGTTACTTAAGAAATATATAACGGTTTAGGTCTAACTATGTTAAACTAGGCCGTGCTAGGTTTATTATTGGCAGATGGCGTAGGGCGTATGCTGAGCGTTATCGAAGTGTCACGTCTCTTAATGGTAGATTCAATGCGTGTTAGACTTGATTAATGTAAAGAAGTTATATTGATAGCTGGTGAGCTAGAATCTATAAAAGTGCTAATAAATGTTCTCTATATACTTGAGGTCGTAGTGAGGACTGATGGTGGAACGGGATCGGTCTCTTGTAGACTGATGATGTTTATGCATCGGTCTAGATGGACTGTTGAAGGAAGGTCGTCGGTCCTTATCTTATCAGTGGACCGAACTGTTTGGAAGGTCGGTCCAGTGAGGGTGACGGGTCTGTTCGCGTGATTGGAGAAAAATAAAAGGGCTCACGTGACGTAACCGCTAGGGTCGTAATAAAATATAATAGTTTTAGCTTAAATTAGCTAAGAGCTATTTAAATTAAAGAAGTTAGAAAAAGCCTTAAAATATAACTAAATTTTAATAATAAAAGAAATAGCTTTCCTTACTGCCTTTATAGGTAACTTAGCCTAATATAAAGAGTAGCTTATTAATATAATTATAAAGGCAAAATAGGTACTTTATATCTTCCTTAGTATTTATAAATAAAGGAAGTCTATATATAAAGTTTTAAGATAAGTATAAAGTAAAAATAAGGTTTAGAAATTTTATTAAAGTTAAAATATATTAAAGGAATTATATTAAGTTTACTTTATATAAGTTAATTAATAAAAGTTAAATTAACCTAAAGTTATAACTTAACTAATTAAATATATATAATAAGGTATATAATTAATTAACTTTATATATAAAACTAAATAAAGTAAAAGTAATAAAAAAGTAATAGTTTAAATTAGGGTTAAGTAAATAATAGTATTTAATTAAAATTAAATATTAAAATATTATTATTATTTATAATAATTATATTATATTATTAATTACTAAGAAAAAGAGGATCTAAATGGCTAAAGTTAAAAATATATAATCCCTAATTTAAATTACTACTTTTTTATTAACTATATTTTATTATTTTTATATATAAAGTTAATTAAATATATACCTTATTATATATATTTAATAAATTAAGTTAAAAAAATCTTTTCCCTTACTTTTAAGCTTGTAAGAGGCTATCTAGCTTTTTAGCTTTTTTATTAGTAACATAAATAAAGAGACTTTTATAGCAAGCCATTATAATAGAAGTCAATATTAGATAAGGTTTATCTGCCTTAATAACGCAATTGCTGCCTTAACCAAGCAGTATAAATACCAGCTGCAGGTCTCTTAGCAGCTAGATTAACCTTCTTCCTTTAACCCACCTAAAGGACTACTCCTTAGTTAACCTTTATAACATACCACGCCTAATGTATATATTGCACTTCTAATTAATTAAGTTATAACTTTAAGTTAATTTAACTTTTATTAACTAACTTATATAAAACTTAATATAATTCCTTTAATTCTAACTTTAATAGAATTTCTATAAAACCCTGCCTTTATCTTATATTTATTTAACTTTATATATAAACTCTATATCTTAACTATACTCTTATAGTCTAAGATTATAACTAGGCTAGTCTTTACTAATTTAAAAGTAACTTTTTAGTAATATTAACTACCTTTATAAATATATTAAGGAGCTACTCTTTATATATAGCTAAGTTTAGGCTTATAAAGGTAGTAAGGAAAGGTACCTTATTTAACTAAAG